TATATATCTATTTATGTATATATATGTGTGTGTTTGATGTATTTGTATGTGTTTATGTATGTGTATGTGTGTGTAAGTGAATGTGTATATATATGTGTGAATGTGTATGTGTGTGTTTATATATGTGTGTAAGTGAATGTGTATGTATGTGTGAATGTGTATGTGTGTGTATTTATGTATGTGTATGTGTATATATATGTGAATGTGAATATGTATATGTATGTATATGTGATTGTATGTGTATATGAATATGTGTATATGTGTGTGTTTATATGTATGTGTATGTGTTTGTGAAATGTATATGTGTATGTGTTTGGGAAATATATATGTGTATGAGTATTTATGTATGTGTGTATATGTGTATATGTGTGAATGTGTATGTGTTTGTGTATATGAAAATATGTGTATATATATATATGTATGTATGTGTATGTATATTTGTATGTGTGTAATGTATGTGTATGTGAAAATATGTGTATATATATATGTATGTATGGGTATGTATATTTGTATGTGTGTAATGTATGTGTATGTGAAAATATATATATATATATATATGTATGTGTATATATAGTATATAATTTTTTTATATATTTTTTTAAAATTTTTTAAAACATTTGCGACGGAATGCGACGGAAAAAATTCCGTCGCAAATTGCGACGGAATTATCCGTCACTTTCCGTCGCAAAACGTAGATTTTTTCCGTCGCACTTTTGCGACGGATTAACGACCGTTATACGTTTGCGACAGCGTTATACCGACGGAAATAAGTCCGTCACATTTCGTCGCAAATTCTTAATTGCGACGGATTTCCTTTATATTTGCGACGGATTTTTCCGTCGCTATATAGCTGTTTTTTTGTAGTGACACATATATAAACACACACATACACATTCACACATACATATACACTTTCACTTACACACACATACACATACATAAACATACACAAACGCATCAAACACACACATATATACATAAATACATATATATTACCTTATGGGAGAAATTTGGCGATCCTTGGAGAGATTTAGAAGAAATTTACCTGATGAAGAAGACGACTCGTGGTTTTATATTGCGTTTTGCGACGGAATTTTCCGTCGCAATCCGTCACAAAATGAAATTAATTTACGCGCCTAAAATTCAAAAAATTTCATCGAAAAAACGAAACCAAATACATTGCGACGGAATATTCCGTCGCAATTTTTATTTTTTATCGCAAATCATCTATTTCTTTGTTGTGACAGAATTATCCGTCGCAAACTGTAGCAAATTGCGACGGATTTTGCGACTGTTTGTGACAGATAATTTTTTTCCACATTCTGTCGTAAAATCTCATATTCCGTCGCAATTTCCTATGCGACGGAAATTTTCATCGCAAATTCCGTCGCTATATGCAGGTTTTTTTGTAGTGCATCCGCATTCTTGGTCCGACCCTGACCAAAGTTGGTCCGGTCCGGACCAAGACGCTTCGTCCCCTCAGTCCGTTGTGGTTCCTCTTCATGGAACAGGTCTGGTCCAGCGGACTGACTTCTGGTCAGCCCCGGACCAACCTTCCCTTTTCTTCTTTCGTTCTGCCTCTTCTTCCCTTGTGTTCATCGGTGGAGTCTATTGTCTGAGTAGGTCTAGTCTGACGGACTGACTTTTGATCAGCCCCGGACCAACCTTCCTTTTCCCTCTATTAGTCCACCCCTTTGGTCCGACGGTGTGTTCTTCCTTCGAGTGCGTCTCGTCCGAGGACTGACTTTTGGTCAGCCCCGGACCGATCTCCTTTCTCTCTTGGTCCATCTCTTTCTTCTTTGGTCCGACTGCGTTTATGTTCATCCATCTCAGTCTCGGTCCGGAGCTGACTAGTGTCTGGTCCGTCGGACCGAGACTGGGACTTCGTCTCCTTCGCCATTTTCAGGTATGTTCCGACTTTTTCTCACTTAAATCGATTCATGATTGCTTCCAAATACTACCAAAACATTATTTAACATTCCTAGACATGTTCTAAATCTCAAACACACAAAGAAACATCGATTTGCACCATCACACAATGAAAACAAGATCTCACAAATCCAACTCAAGCCATTCATCTTGTTCTTGAGCTTTGGTTGGTTTGTCCGAGTTTGTGTGAGTCCTCCTCACGTCGAGAACACCTTTAAGGTATGTCTAGGAAAGTCCCCCTTTGTTTTCCTGAGGTTCCCTTGCTCTGGTTCTTCTCCCTTCTCTCCCTCTCTCACTTTCTCATTTTTCTCTGTTTTCTGCTATAATGGCTGAGTCCCAGTCTTGGGGAGTGTTTGTAACGGGAGAAAGAGAGTTGATGGGCCAAGTCAGGCCCAAGATCAAGCCTGCTTCGCCCTGAACCAATTGGGCGGTCGCAAGTTGCTACAGACGCAACTTGCGAGTTGTTTTTCGCTGGTCCACCAGACCAACTTCTTGGTCCGTCGGTCTGGCCTTGTTTTTCTTCCTCCGAGCTTCTGGTCCGTCTCTCCCGTTCCAGTTCGACTGACTGATTGGTCCGGAGTTGACCAAGACATGGTCTGATGGACCAACTCAGTTTTTTCCATTTTCATTCTTTTTCTCGGTCTTGCTCTGGTCCCCCCGACCCGATGCTGGTTCGCCCCGACCAAACCTGAAACCTTATTTTTCTTCTTCCGTTTTTTTTTTTTGTCTTTCCGCACGTAATGATCCTCGTGCCTTCTCCCGACACTATACTATCCCTTTTTAGTGATTTCGCGATATATCCTTTTAATTATTTATTTTTAAAAAATAATTTAATATTCGAAACGTGTTTCGAAGTATTACAAAATCTATTTTTATAATTGATGAGAATGAGATAAAAAATGTAAACTCTAAAATATCTTCGTTTTTTAGTTAATTAATAAATATTAAAGATAAACATGGATAAATAAGGAATTAACAAAATAAAAGTAATATTATTTAAAAATTAAATAAAAAGTTATATTGTTCGATAGGGTCATATATGAATATACCATTTTTATAATGATTTAAAACAACTAAATGCCACATTTGGCTTGGACAATATATATCCTTAATAAAACCTTCATATTTTCAGTTCAATTTTTATTTATTTGATTGGGAAATCACATAACAATATACTTGAAATAGTTTAGTGTTAGTTTTTTTTTTCCATACAGAGACATTGTGAGGCATGTAATATCGAAATATATATATAGGCGATCGAACATATTCCACATTAATACACGAATTTGTAAAAAATCTCAAATAAATATACAAAGTTTAATTGTTAAAAAAAATTACAAGAGTTCTTCTTAACTTCCACACTAAATCCTGAATTTTTTAAAAAGTGTTAAAAAACACACACCATATCATTATGATATTTGGGAATTGTTTAACATTTAAGATTTAATTTTATGGTGGTTTTTGGGGATAATTTTAAAGTTCATAATTTATTTTAATTGGTTTTAAAATTTTCAGGATTTAATGTGAAAGTTAAGATGCATTCATATATTTTTTTCGGAAATTTTAAAGTCCGTGTATTTATTTGGGATTTGTTTTACAAAATGTTTCCAAAGAAATATGAAAACTTAATAAGAAAATGTAAAAAAAAAACGAATTAAAGGGATAAAACGGTAATAATATTGTCTAACGCATTCCAACTCACATTCTTTATATAGGGGGCTATTTTTTTTTTGAACAACCATGCAACTCAGACAATGTAATTCAAGTAAACCGACCAAATGATGTAGAAGATAATAACCATATTTGACAAATGAAGAAAATGACAAGTCATAACACTTAGGATATAAACAGAAATAACTAAATTCAATGGTTAGCCTAAGATCTCTCACATCTAAGAAATCTTTAGTTCGGATAAAGAAAAAAAGAACAAAAGAATTGGCAAAGAACAAAAGAATAGAAACCCAATAAGTGTTTCTATTCTTGGCTACTTTTGTCCTTCCCATTCTCCTCCTCCTCCCTCTTCGTCCAAAAAAAAGTTTTTTTTCTAGGGAGGCGAAGAGAAGAAAAGGGAACCCCATATCGACTTCCAAACGTTGAATTCACCAAGACGGTCTAATCGATAATAGCTCGTGTCGTGGCAATGCTAACTCGGGAGAACCCGGTTATGCTTGCATGCAACACGGCCTCAACGAAAAGATCAACGATTCTCATAATTATCATTGTGTTATGTCCGATCACGGTTACGGTCATGTCTCAGAGCTTGGAGCAAGGCTCGGATGCAGATTGCCTATTGAAATTCAAGAACACGTTGGCAAATGGTTCGATTCTTGGCTCTTGGAACCGTTCAACTAGCCCTTGTAATGGAAATGTTGCAAATTGGCTCGGAGTTCTTTGTTATAATGATGTTGTTTGGGGCATACAACTCGAAGGAAAGGGCTTCTCGGGCAAGTTAGATATCGATCCTTTGGTTCCTATGAGGTATCTACGTACAATAAGCTTCATGAACAACAATTTCGACGGTCCGTATCCTCCGATCAAGAAGCTCAGTTCATTGAAATCATTGTATTTATCCGATAACCGGTTTAGTGGGGAGATACCGGACGATGCATTCTTCGGTATGAGGAGTCTCAAGAAGGTTTATTTAGCAAACAATGCATTTGAAGGGAAACTTCCTTCTTCATTAGCCGCCTTACCAAAACTTCTAGAGGTGAGGGTAAACGGGAATCAATTTTCAGGGCTAATACCCGATTTCAAGCAGAATGATCTTAAGCTAGCAAGTTTTTCCAACAACGATCTCGAAGGACCTATACCTGAAAGCCTTAGCACGATGGTTCCTGGCTCATTCGCGGGTATGTTTTATATTGCATTATTGTATCATGAATCAATTCTTGACAAGAGTAGTGCATTTTGATCAATGTATTCATGAAACAAAATTTGTTTGTCCTATAATATCTCTACTTCTGTAATGAAATCTTTCGTATTTGCTGAACAATGCAGGGAACAAAAACTTGTGTAATGCCCCATTAAGTCCATGCTCTCTAGCTCCTGAATCTCATCCTATTCCTTTTAATCCGACAAGCATAAACAAATCATTCTTCACAATCTCCATCATTTTAATCGTTGTGGGCATAATCCTAGTTATCATCGCACTTGTGATCTTCTTCATCATTACCAGAAATCGGAATTCCTTATCACATTCTCCTTCTATGATCGAGGAGAGAGCAGAAAAATATCAAGTTTACAAGGAGAAACCAACTGAATCTGTTGCAAGTCGCGCAAGAAAAAGTGGGGGAGCAGATCAAGGGAAGCTTTTGTTTGTAAGAAACGACGTTCAAAAGTTTGATCTTCAAGATCTTCTTACAGCCTCGGCTGAGGTTCTTGGGAGTGGAACATTTGGGGCTTCATATAAAGCGTCGATAATGGGGGGACAAATGTTGGTTGCTAAGAGATATAAACATATGAACAACGTCGGGAGAGAAGAATTTCACGAGCATATGCGGAGATTAGGAAGGCTAAGCCATCCTAATTTGTTGCCTCTCGTAGCATATTATTACCGCAAAGAAGAGAAGCTCTTGGTCACTGAATTCATGGCAAATAGTAGCTTGGCGAGCCACCTTCATGGTATATTGTTTCACTTCTCTTTCAAAAATCAAAACCATTTGACTTTTTACTCCTAAGTTGATAGTTTTGGTTACAATCATATCGATCGTTAATATTGCTTTCTTCTCAATTTCAGCAAATCATTCTGTTGATCAACCGGTATTGGATTGGACGACCCGTTTGAAGATCATAAAAGGTGTGGCAAAGGGCTTAGCTTTCTTATATACCGAGCTACCAACCCTCACTATTCCTCACGGTCACCTCAAGTCATCAAACATCGTATTGGACGAGTCTTTCGAGCCACTATTAACAGACTACTCTCTAAGACCTGTTATGAACTCAGAGCATGCACATAACCTAATGATCTCTTACAAATCGCCGGAGTATAGCCAGAAGGGTTACATAAGCAAGAAAACCGATGTTTGGTGCCTTGGGATTGTGATATTGGAGCTTCTAACAGGGAAATTCCCAGAGAACTATCTAACTCAAGGGTATGATCCAAACATGAGCCTAGTAACGTGGGTCAGCAACTTGGTTAAGGAGAAGAAAACGGGTGACGTGTTCGACAAGGAAATGTCGGGGAAGAAGAATAACAAAGCCGAGATGTTGAATCTGCTGAAAATAGGGTTGAGCTGTTGTGAGGAGGACGAGGAAAGGAGAATGGAGATGAGGGAGGCTGTGGAGATGATAGAGAGGCTGCGAGAAAGCGAGTTTGAGGAAGATTTCGATTCCATGCCGAGCAAAAACAATTTATGCTCTTCGAGTTTGACGGATGATGACTATAGTTTCGTGATGAATCGATGATAAAATTACTGAGAATATGAACAAACTTTTGATTTCATGCCACTGCAGCTATTCTCTGAAGCATATGCGATCGTTTTTTCGGATCAAATCCAGAGATGAGTTTTATGAGAAACGAGGCAAAAACTTGGGTTCGAGATGTAAATATATTGCATCTGATCACTCATCTTCGGTTTTCTTCTACCTAACCATTTTGAGTTCTGAAATGTCATTGTTTTCTCCATTTGGTCTTCCCAAACTTTTTTTTTCTCTTTAAACAAACTATAAATACAAATACATTATTAGATTTAATAAAGTTCTACGAGTTTTCACATGATTAGATGTTATATTGGTATTCCTATATTTTTACGAGTTTCAAAGTTTCTTGAAACTAGATTCTTATCTTTTCATAAAAATTTCTCGCAAACATATATGTTACGGAAAGATTTGAGTTTCAGAGCGAATAAACAACATATTCTAAGAGTTCTTTTTTTAGGTTTCAAGACCAAAACCCATTCTCTATATAGTCCTGAACAGTAAAAAGGTAATTAACAATAAGGTCCATGTATTTGTGAAAAATGGAACAAAAAACATAAGATACTTTTGTAAGACATTTTCAGATATTTTTAACAGTTTTCTTTGCAGAAGGATGCGTGAGAGATTCATGGAGGGTTACGTATAATCATGCATTTTAATTTTCATGCTTTACAAATTTTTTTGGTGATGTACTGATCTTAAGAGTGCTTGATGATCTTATTATTGCACAAGGAATACACATAAATCGTTGCGACAAGAAAAACATGTAGATTTTTACTCCTGTACCTTATACTAAACTCAAAAAATCATCTAAATCATGTAAAATTAATAGAAATATTTAACTAATTTTTTCTATTTTTGGAAAATAAAACATTTGGACATAAAATTCTAATAAGAATCATGCAATTTGTCTCTTGTGGCTCAAGAAATTTGTGTGGACACGAGATTTGCTCAAGCGTTGTGCCAAACTTGTTGGTTTTTTATCACACGGGTTTACCACCGGTTTTTCTAACATCATTCTCCCATCTCATTACACATTTTAGACATATTAGGACGTTAGATGGCCATGGATAGGAGTTTTCCTTTATTTTTCCTTCCAGGACGATTAGATGAGAATCCTCACGAACCAGGTGGGAAAAGGATCGGAAACAAGAAGGTGGGCAAAGCTTAGAGAAAACGAGCGGGTCGCCCATTTGCATGCATGGGCGGTCGCTTGTCATGCCGAAGAAACAATGAGCGGTCGCTCACAATACCAGGCGGTCACCCGACGAGAGAAAAGAAGATCGAGTGGTCGCTCGACAACAAGAAAACGAGCGACCCTGAAGAGAAAATGAGTGGTCCTGAAAAAAAAGTGAGCGACTGCCTGAAATTAAAATCGGCCCAGAAAGAAAAAACCCGAATTTTGAGGAGAAAAACCTAATTCTACACTTTCATAAAAAGGGTTTTAGAGGAGAGAGAAAGGAGACTGTATACTTGGGAAGAGAAATCACCTTGGATAGGAGGCAAGAGATATTTGGAGGCTAAGGAGGCTTGGAGATGAAGGAGATCACCATTGAAGACCATCTTAAGCATCTCTTTTCC